GAGAAGGATTCATTCAAAATGTGACACTTTCAGAGTGGGGAGTGTTATTTGATTTAAAAAAAAAAATGCAAATAATATATTATTGAAGAATAATTCTGGATTATTTTTGGCTGCCATTTTTCCATTAATGTTACTGCTATGGCTGTTTGAGTCCTAGATGTCCAGTGATAATTACTGTTTAGTCTGATCTGCCTGATAAATTGATCAATGTTCTGAGGAAAAAGTCATTTTGACTAAATATGAATGCTGTGATTTCTGAGGTTTCCGCCAGCACTTAAACATTCACATATCTGTAGATGAGAAAGAAAATAGCAACAGAACTTCAAACACAAAACATGTTTATGTTTGTACATTCACAGAAATATAGATATTTTTCTGTAGGTTTTTTAAAAAAAATTATTTCATTGTTTGTGAATTAGGTGATACATTATTGAACACTGTAAATCACCCATAAATCAACCCATGTGTTTATAGGTCTAGTTTTTTTTTAAAGGTTATTTTACTTAGAATTTATAGTTCAGTGCTCACAAATCAGTATCAAAATGTTAAAATCCCAGAAAGCATATTTATGTTGACAGAACATTCAGTACATGTTTTTCTCCACAGATCGTCTCTCTTCTAAAGTCACTGTCTGACCAGAGTTCATAACTAAAAAAAAAAATACTGCAAGTCATACTTACGGTGAGTTTTATTGTGGAGCAACAACAGTCATCATGTTTACTGGCTGAGAAACACCAGCAAGCTGTAACGTCACACATGGACCACCAGGTGGCAGCACGACCGTTTCTCAGTTCTTACCAGGCCTCTGACTGGATCACTGCACTGACTGCCACAGTTCATTAGACAGTACCTGCTGTAACTGGTTCCGTAAGCGGTTTGACTATTCAGGAATGAACCAGGAGGAGACTCACCTTTAGAACCACCTTCTATCTGATGCTTTTAGTGTTTAAAAAGTGTGCTGATCAGGGAGACGTCAGCGTCCGTCCACTTCTCCCAGATCTGTGTGCAGCAGTTTTCAAACTTTATTTATTAATAGACGTAATAAATGAACTTAGAATCAGAGTTCACATCATGTCTGAACAACCCAAACACCTGACTGGTAGACAGAGGCTGTGATGAGGATCAGCGTCCAGCAGGGGGAGACACAGTTAACAGCTTCACTCACTTCAACTGCACAGTTCAGACTGACTCTTTATTTTCTACAGTGTAAAACAAAACAAAACACTTTTTATGTGGAGTTATGTAACAACACAGATGGATTTATGAAGTTAGAAAAAGTGCAAACAAAGTAAATGATGTGTCATATTTTAGTACAGGATGTATCCGGCCAAGTGAGGAGGATTTTGGTGTTACTCACTGCGATTCTGGTTCTAAACTGAGTGCTTTTGAACTTTGGTAACTTTTTCAATTACAGTCATTTTTGCCATCAAAAATATCAAACATAGAAGATGAGTGTTTATTTGAGAGTAACAGCTGCTTGTTTGGATTCTGGCAACAAAGGACACAGCCTGTTCACACTGTTAGATCAATAGTTTAACAAATAGATTTGATTTAAATGTAATTTAAATGTTGTACAAAGCAGTAAATTGACATCCATTATCCGTCCGTTTCCTTCCTCTTATTCAGAGTTGGGTTGTGGTTCCAGCTGGCAAAGCAAGATATTGTAGATGTTCATTCTCCTCTGGAGTGATTTCCATTTTCTCCTTGAGGATCCAAAGGTGTTCCCATGAGATCTGTTCCCATGGGTCTACCATCAGGTCTCCTACTAGCTGGAAGCTGCTTTGTGGCCAGTGATTGAACTTTTCTTGACTCCCACTGTACACATTATTTCCCAGAAACCAACCAGCTCTGCTTGCTGAATAGAATTACTGAAGTAATGGTTTACGGAAGACCTACTCTATATTTATGTTTCTGAAGTTTAAATAAGGGCTGCAAGGTGGATCGGAGGTTAGCATCATTGCCTCACAGCCAGGGGCGGATCTACCGGGGTGGCATGGGG